CCTCCAGGACAAATCCTTTCCCCTTTGAAGTGATTTTCCTGCCCTGTCAATGCCATGGTATACCTCCATGGTACCTACTGTATACACACTGCCTTTCCTCCTCGCTTTCATTTTTCCTTAACATCTCTGATTTCTTGTACTCTTTCATTCAGAATATTGTTATTTTCTCCCTGCCAAAATAATGCTATGCAGAGGAATGTGCATTTAAAAGAGGTGGAGGGTATAAGCTCAAGGGAAAACTACCCTCTCCCGCCCTCTCTCTTCCCCTTTCTTCCCATTTATAATCCTAAAGATCAAAGACAGAGAGAAAGAGTGCAACTTGAGATTGCTGAAGGGCAGAAAGGTGGGTCTCATATCCATAGCAGTGCTGTTGACAGTTCAGAAGTCTGGTACATGGGGAGGTTGGTAGAGGTGAGTGAATCTCCAGTACCTTCAGAAAGTATTCACATCCCTTGACTTTTTCCACATTGTGTTGTTACAAGGTGGGATTCAAATGGATGTAATTGTCAGTTCTTGTCAACGATTTACACAGAATGACTCTTGTAGCTCAGTTGGTAGAGCATGGCGTTTGCAACGCCAGGGTTGTGGGTTCGATTCCCACGGGGGCCAGTATGAAAAATAAAATAATGTATGCACTAACTGTATAACTGGATAAGAGCGTCTGCTAAATGACGTAAATGTAATAGGAAGAAGATTAAGAGCCAGGTCCCTGGTGCTTATGCTAGATTGAGGGGAGTCATCACTGCAGTCCCAATATCTATGTCCATAGAAGATATTAAAGACAATGTGAAGGGAGAAAGAGTGATTGAGGCCAAAAGGTTGATCAGTAGGAAAGAGGGTCAAGGGAATGAAAGCTTATCTTATCAGTGCTGCGGTTTGAGAATGTTTTGCCAGGAAATGTACAGATAGGATTCCTTAGTTTCAATGTCAGAGAATTTGTCCCATCCCCATTGCAGTGTTTTAGATGCCAAAGAATGGGACATGTAGCTGTTCAATGTAAAGGAAGGAAAGGAACATGATTATGGTGACTGTGGGAGCAATGTGAAGGTTATGTGTTGTAATTGTGGTGGGGAAGGTTAGTTTAGCTCGGTGGAGCTCTTGTATTTTGTATCGCCGGGATATTCATCCGTGTGCTTTGTTGTTTCCAGTGCGCTGTATATTTCTGCACTGGAGTGTTTGACGCATTGCTGCGTACCGCTGTGTCAACGGAATATGTACCCACTGTTATTCTGTGATTTACCTTCCTGCGCCTGACTCCTTCATATCACATCACCACAGTTTGCGGACATCCATGATATCATAGAAGAAGAAGAAGAAGAAGAAGAAGAAGAAGAAGAAGAAGAAGAAGAAGAAGAAGAAGAAGAAGAAGAAGAAGAAGAAGAAGAAGAAGAAGAAGAAGAAGAAGGGGGAACTGTTTGAAAACTTTTAAAGTAAAATACTTCAGTAATTGTGCTGTTAACCTGTTCCATTGGGTTATTTGCCTGGAAAAAGGGAATTACTGGACCTCTCACATAAGCACTTCCATTCAACACCAAGGAGTAGTGAGCGTATCTGATTGAATGTTGCATTGTTGATTGTCTCTCCTGTTCTTCCTATTGGATTATAATGTCTCTTTTTTGTGGATTTTCCTTTTTGGGGAAATAACTATTTCGAACTGAATTGAATTATTTGGATTGAAAGGACATTTTTGGGTGAACTGAATATCTTTTTGACTTTGACCATTGAACTTTAGACTATTGCATGAATTGACTATTGACTTTGATTTGATTGCTGGATATATCCAATACAAAAAAGCCTTATTGCATCAATTTTGAGTTGGTTTGGGATTTTTGTTGCTGATCTATTGCTGCTTTATCATTACTAATCAAAGCTTTATTATGATGCTTTAAAGCGGCAGTCAGCAGTAGAAACAATAACAAGGCGGGCACCCCACTCCTGGTTCGGTAAAATTGCTGAGGGATGGGGCTAGAGAAATGTAACCACTCTCAAATTCATAAGCACAGCTATGGATGCAAGGACTGACCATCCATGATATCACAATTATAGTTTTAACCATGTTTTGAGGCTATATGATGTTTGTTTACATTTTCTTTGTTTAGAAACATTGGAGTAAAATAAGTTATATTCTTCAAGGATCAGTGGGTACATATCATTCATTTTTAAGTAAAGAAATGGCTGTAGCAACTGCTTATTGCTCCTTTAAAGTAGCCAGCAGATTCCGACCCTACCGTTACGCTTGTTTACGCTGAGCTGCACTGGGATCGGAATTCAATCATGGTTAGATTAAGAGCCGGCGCAAGATATGGCTCGGAAAACGTACCTCAATCCAGGGATGAGAAATTGCGTTGTGCTCCGAATTGTCACATTATCCCAACTGTTACACCGGGAAGATTGAACGACTACTAGTTTTTCCAGAAAGCTGCCCTTTTCTTCCTAATGCTAGCTAGCAGTAGCCACAGAAGCCATAGTATAATGGTACGTCACGTTGAACAACAAAGAAGCTAATTGGCTGACACTGCCATTCCACAATGGCAGCATTGGCAACTGCTAGCTAGCATAAGGACAAAAAATAACAGTTTTCCGGATAAACTAGCAGTCTTTCAATCTTCTCGATGTATCCGTTTGGATATAAATAAAACGTGCAGTACAGTGGCATATCCCATCCCTGCATTGAGGTACGTTTTCCAAGCCATATTTTGCGCCAGCTCCGCTGTGGCTTAATCTAACCATGATTGCGTCCCAACCCCATTGCAGCTCGGTGTAAACAAACCTAAAAAGGTCAGGTCGGAATCTGCTGGCTAGCATTAAATGTGCTTTGCTTTTTGTTAGGGTTGTGCATATTTATACTTTTTCTAAATTGCAAATAGGTCTAGGGGTCAAGCTATTGCTTATAAGTGAACATGTTGAGTGGAGGGCAATGCTTCCTTGCTGTTACTTGTGTGTATTCACCAGATACTACTTAGACCGACCAAACTAACGAAAATCTGTCAATTTCAACACAAAAAAGTCCGACATCCATACATTTCTTGTTGACTAAGAGTTGTGGCAGCATTGGATGTTGTTTCAGGGAGGAGTATCATGGGGAAGGTGAAAGGCTACAAATTGCCACAATCCCTTCTCACCTCTCCAGTGTGATAACTGATATGTGGTGAGCATTCTGATGCAAACCTTCACCTTCATTTACTCTCATAATGTAAAGCTTTTTTGAGTTGAAGAAAAAGCATTTTATTATTTACTTGAAATGTTTTATTTGAAGTGAACATTTAAGATAAATAATAAGCAGATGAGTTCATTCAAATATAAAAAAATTGAAGAAGCATTATATACAGTGGGGAGAACAAGTATTTGATACACTGCCGATTTTGCAGGTTTTCCTACTTACAAAGCATGTAGAGGTCTGTAATTTTTATCATAGGTACACTTCAACTGTGAGAGACGGAATCTAAAACAAAAATCCAGAAAATCACATTGTATGATTTTTAAGTAATTAATTTGCATTTTATTGCATGACATAAGTATTTGATATATCAGAAAAGCAGAACTTAATATTTGGTACAGAAACCTTTGTTTGCAATTACAGAGATCATACATTTCCTGTAGGTCTTGACCAGGTTTGCACACACTGCAGCAGGGATTTTGTCCCACTCCTCCATACAGACCTTCTCCAGATCCTTCAGGTTTCGGGGCTGTCGCTGGGCAATACGGACTTTCAGCTCCCTCCAAAGATGTTCTATTAGGTTCAGGTCTGGAGACTGGCTAGGCCACTCCAGGACCTTGAGATGCTTCTTACGGAGCCACTCCTTAGTTGCCCTGGCTGTGTGTTTCGGGTCGTTGTCATGCTGGAAGACCCAGCCACGACCCATCTTCAATGCTCTTACTGAGGGAAGGAGGTTGTTGGCCAAGATCTCGCGATACATGGCCCCATCCATCCTCCCCTCAATAAGGTGCAGTCGTCCTGTCCCCTTTGCAGAAAAGCATCCCCAAAGAATGATGTTTCCACCTCCATGCTTCACGGTTGGGATGGTGTTCTTGGGGTTGTACTCATCCTTCTTCTTCCTCCAAACACGGCGAGTGGAGTTTAGACCAAAAAGCTCATATTTTTCTCTCATCAGACCACATTACCTTCTCCCATTCCTCCTCTGGATCATTGGCAAACTTCAGACGGGCCTGGACATGCGCTGGCTTGAGCAGGGGGACCTTGCGTGCGCTGCAGGATTTTAATCTATGACGGCGTAGTGTGTTACTAATGGTTTTCTTTGAGACTGTGGTCCCAGCTCTCTTCAGGTCATTGACCAGGTCCTGCCGTGTAGTTCTGGGCTGATCCCTCACCTTCCTCATGATCATTGATGCCCCACGAGGTGAGATATTGCATGGAGCCCCAGACCGAGGGTGATTGACCATCATCTTGAACTTCTTCCATTTTCTAATAATTGCGCCAACAGTTGTTGCCTTCTCACCAAGCTGCTTGCCTATTGTCCTGTAGCCCATCCCAGCCTTGTGCAGGTCTACCATTTTATCCCTGATGTCCTTACACAGCTCTCTGGTCTTGGCCATTGTGGAGAGGTTGGAGTCTGTTTGATTGAGTGTGTGGATAGGTGTCTTTTATACAGGTAACGAGTTCAAAAAGGTGCAGTTAATACAGGTAATGAGTGGAGAACAGGAGAGCTTCTTAAAGAAAAACTAACAGGTCTGTGAGAGCCGGAATTCTTACTGGTTGGTAGGTGATCAAATACTTATGTCATGCAATAAAATGCTAATTAATTACTTAAAAATCATACAATGTGATTTTCTGGATTTTTCCGTCTCTCACAGTTGAAGTGTACCTATGATAAAAATTACAGACCTCTACATGCTTTGTAAGTAGGAAAACCTGCAAAATCGGCAGTGTTTCAAATACTTGTTCTCCCCACTGTATAATGCATATCTTGGTCATTGGAGGGGGTAGTACTACCTTGAGCTCGTCGAAGCGCAGGGTGAAATGCAGGATCTCTGCAAACTGTCTAGCCAATGCCTGCTCCTGCTCCAGATGCTGGGTGGGACTGCAGCGAGCGCTCGTCAGAGCCTTCAGCAGACCATGCAATGACCCCTCTGTATCAAAGAGATGGGGGGGATGGAAGAGGGGAAGAGAGAGAAAGAAGGGAGAAAGGAGGGAGAGGGGGAATGAATGGAAAAATAGATAATGGGGGAAAGAGAGAATGGGGAAAGGGAGAGAGAGAGAGTAAGAGAAGAAAATAGGGGGTAGAATGGAGAAATATAGAGGGGGAGAGAGGAAAATAGAGGTTAGAGAGGGAGGGAGACCAGGTGAAAGAGAGGGGAAGGTGGGAGATAGAGAAATGACATGGAGGGATTAGAATGAGCATATGCAGGTCAGATGGGATGAATGTGATCAGGATGGATGTAGCCAAGGAGGGGTAAAAAGAGGGGAAGATGCAAGTTAAATGAGAACTTGGAGAGGTGGATGAGAGATGGAGGGAGAGTGAGATGAAGAAATGGATAGAGGGATAGGCGAAAGTAAAGCTAGGACATGGAGGAGTGTAACTGGAAATTATAAATATGAGAAGGAGATAAGAAAGGATAATTGTTTGTGAATGGGAGGATGGAGAAGTGAAATAAAGCTAGAGAGGGCAGGATAGTGCAAATGATGATGTCAGTGAAAGTCTTGAGTTGTCAAACCAATGTTCGAAAAAATAAGTAGGCAGTTGAACTTCATGGGAATGAACTGCAATTCAACACAATTACCATTGACCACCTACGACCATTATTCTGTTTTCTGAATTACAATGGAATTGACTCGATCCCTTTCAAAATGCTACAAAAGATTCTGACAAGATTTCATTGTCCCTATAAGATAATAATGTGAAAGAGAAAAGACTTGTTCCGAGCTGCTAGCTAGACTATAGTATTGGTCTTTGAGGAATGATGTGAATGGGCTCCCTACAATGGGCGGTACTGCATTTACCAAGCTGTCAATCATTCACTTATTTGACTCAATGACCTTATCAAGCTCATTTTGATGTAGGAAGCCAAAGGCTTCTTTTGGATAAGAGTAACAACCTTATGCAACAATGGACAGTGCAAGGTAAACCCATTGACTCAGCGGTCTCATCTGATCTGAACTGTGAAAAAAGAGGAGGGACATCAGACACTTGAGATCTGTTAATGCTTATTGCCACGTTGACTTTAGTTTGAGTCCTCTTTCGTTAGGTAGAGGAGGTTCCATTGGTCCTTTCTTTGAAATAATGTCTGATTTAGACCTGGAAACCCGTTTTTTAATAGATTTCCTATAGAAGCAATTACTTGAATTGATAAAGGACAAATGGACCCTCCTCTACCTAACAAAAGAGAACTCAGCTAAAAGTCCAGACTAAAACATAGGGTGAATTCCAGGCCTACTACATTGCAGACTATGCATTGCATGAACCAATTGTTGTTTGCCACATCATCGGCTGCAGGGTCAGGCATCATATTGCAATATCTTATCTGATATGGTTAGCTGATATGTTAAACACCTATCCAGGTGTTGTGAGATCTGGCAGGTGTCTACAATTTAGTCAGCCTGAAACGTGGCCATAATAGGACTGAAGCAGTCAAGGGCTAGGCTTTTACTTTTTAGCAATATTTTTATGTGTAACTCCAACATACTACGGCCCTAGCTACATACCTAAATTTGTTTTAACAGTCAATAACTATGAAAAGCCCCCACCAAATGTAGTGCCTCGTATGAGGATCGTAAACGAGACAAACAACCCATTTATCGGGACCTCTACATTTGTATGCCCCTGTGTCAGGGGCGGCATGTAGCTTAGTGGTTAAGAGCGTTGTGCCAGTACCCGAAAGGTCGTTGGTTCTAATCCCCGAGACTAGGTGAAAAATCTGTCGATGTGCCCTTGAGCAAGGCACTTAACCCTAATTGCTCCTGTAAGTCGCTCTGGATAAGAGCGTCTGCTAAATGATTAAAATGTAAATGTGTCGGCACTGGCATTGCAACACAAAGTTCTGGAACTCTTGTGAGAGTCTAGCTCCGAGATCCCACTCATCTGCGTCGTGGCTTGATCTCCAGAGAGTCACGGCGTTTAGACGTGATCAGACCGTGTGTCACAGCTAATTAGGTCATGGCCTAGTTCTTCAACGTGAGTGTAACCCCTTTCTTTCAAGCAATAAGACTGGGGCTGGGATTCAACAGAGCAGTGCAATGGACAGCCGACAATGCACCTTTTTAGGGCTGACCCCATTTAGTCGACTGGTTGATTGATTGGTCAATAGGCTGTTCATGTATCCAAAAAAAAGAGGTCGCAAATTGATATTTTTTTCATAGCGCACGAGACACCTGCCTGATTTGTGCCAGTCTCAGTGGACCCACTGTGGACGCCGCGGGGATGGCGCTGTCTGCGGTAGTGCACTTGATTCCGCTGCGGTGAGACAAAGCCCTCCCTCCAGACTGACCATCAGATGAATGGTGAGAGAGCCCTACCTCCAGACTGACCATCAGATGAATGGTGAGAGAGCCCTACCTCCAGACTGACCATCAGATGAATGGTGAGAGACAGCCCTCCCTCCAGACTGACCATCAGATGGATGGTGAGAGACAGCCCTCCCTCCAGACTGACCATCAGATGGATGGTGAGAGACAGCCCTCCCTCCAGACTGACCATCCATCTGTAAATTTCGATGAAACATGGTGAAGCCCCAAAATTGCCTACCCTGGAAGCCTGTGTTTCAGACATAAGGAAGTGGATGGCAGTAAATGTTTTACTTTTAAACTCGGACAAAACAGAGATGCTAGTTCTAGGTCCCAAGAAACAAAGAGATCTTCTGTTGGATCTGACAATTAAACTTGATGTTTGTACAGTCGTCAAAAAAAACAACTGTGAAGGACCTCGGCGTTACTCTGGACCCTGATCTCTCTTTTGACGACCATATCAAGAATATTTCAAGTACAGCTTTTTCCCATCTTTGTAACATTGCAAAAAATCTGAAACGTTTTGTCCAGGAATGATGCAGAAAAGCTAATCCATGCTTTTGTCACTTCTAGATTAGACTACTGCAATGCTCTACTCTGCGGCTACCCGGATAAAGCACTAAATCAACTTCAGTTAGTGCTAAACACAGCTGCTAGAATCTTGACTAGAACCAAAACATTTATTCATATTACTCCAGTGCTAGCCTTTCTACACTGGCTTCCTGTTAAGGCTAGGGCTGATTTCAAAGTTTTACTGCTAACCTACAAAGCATTACATGGGCTTGCTCCTACCTATCTCTCCGATTTGGTCCTGCCGTACATACCTACACGTACGCTACGGTCACAAGACGCAGGCCTCCTTATTGCCCCTAGAATTACTAAGCAAACAGCTGGAGGCAGGGCTTACTCCTATAGAGCTCCATTTTTATGGAATGGTCTGCCTATCCATGTGTGAGACGCAGACTCGGTCTCAACCTTTAAGTCTTTACTGAAAACTCATCTCTTCTGTAGGTCCTATGATTAAGTGTAGTCTGGCCCAGGGGTGCGAATGTGAACGGAAAGGCACTGGTGTGACAAACCACCCTTGCTGTCACTGCCTGGCAGGTTCCTGTCTCTCCATTGGGATTCTCTGCCTCTGACCCTATTACGGGGGCTGAGTCACTGGCTTACTGGTGCTTTCCATGCCGTCCCTAGGAGGGGTGCGTCACTTGAGTGGGTTGAGTCACTGACGTGATCTTCCTGTCCGGTTTGTCGCCCCCTCTGGCTCTTGCAGTGGAGGAGATCTTCGTGGGCTATACTCAGCCTTGTCTCAGGGTAGTAGGTTGGTGGTCTGTTGATATCCCTCTGGTGGTGTGGGGGCTGTGCTTTGGCAAAGTGGGTGGGGTTATATCCTGCCTGGTTGGCCCTGTCCGGGGGTATCGTCGGACGGGGCCACAGTGTCTCCCGACCCCCCCTGTCGCAGCCTCCAGTATCTATGCTGCAATAGTCTATGTGCCGGGGGCCTAGGGTCAGTCTGTTATATCTGGTGTTATTCTCCTGTCTTATACAGTGTCCTGTGTGAATTCGAGTATGCTCCCTCTAATACTCTCTCTCTCCCTCTCTCCCTCCCCTCCTGGAAGACCTGAGCCCTAGGACCATGCCTCAGGACTACCTGGCCTGATGACTCCTTGCTGCCCCAGTCCACCTGGTCGTGCTGCTGCTCCAGTTTCAACTCCTCTGCCTGCAGCTATGGAACCCTGACCTGTTCGCCGGACGTGCTACCTTGTCCCAGACCTGCTGTTTTCAACTCTCTCTCTCGACTACACCTGCTATTTCAACCTCTAAATGCCCGGCTGTGAAAAGCCAAGTGACATTTACTCCTGATATACTGACCTGTTGCAACCTCCACAACGATTGTGATTATTATTTGACCCTGCTGGTCATCTATGAATGTTCTTGGAGAAAAATCTGGCCTTAATGGCCATGTACCGTCTCCCGAATGGCGCAGTGGTCTAAGGCACTGCATCGCAGTGCTAGCTGTGCCACTAGAGATCCTGGTTCGAATCCAGGCTCTGACGTAGCCGGCCGCGACCGGGAGACCCATGGGGCGGCGCACAATTGGCCCAGCGTCGTCCAAGGTAGGGGAGGGAATGGTCGGCAGGGGATGTAGCTCAGTTGGTAGAGCATGGCGTTTGCAACGCCAGGGTTCTGGGTTCGATTCCCACGGGGGGGTATGATTTTTTTAAAAAATAATAATAATAATAAAAAACAATAATGTACAGTTAGTGACACTCACTAACTGTAAGTCGCTCTGGATAAGAGCGTCTGCTAAATGACGTAAATGTAATAATTCTCCACCCGGCACAGCCAGAAGGGGACTGGCCACCCCTCAGAGCCTGGTTCCTCTCTAGGTTCCTTCCTAGGTTTCTGCCTTTCTAAGGAGTTTTTCCTAGCCACTGTGCTTCTACATCTGCATTGCTTACTGTTTGGGGTTTTAGGCTGGGTTTTCTGTATAGCACTTTGTGACATCTGCTGATGTAAAAAGGGCTTTATAAATACATTTGATTGATTGATTGACAGCCCTCCCTCCAGACTGACCATCATATGGATGGTGAGAGACAGCCCTCCCTCCCGACCATCTGATGCAGATCATATGGAAAAATACAAGTTTAAAAATGTAGACCAATCGATTGGTTGAAAGAACAGACGACTCTCGGTCGACCAAGATTTGTTTTTGTCGGGACAAATCCTGAAATGCACTTCAAAGACGAGCTGTTTGTTTCGACTCCTTACATCTAAGGGGGTTCTGTTTTAGATATGTGTTTAGATGGGAATTATGCTATAATATAGTATATTTTTATTTACAGTAACCCAGTTGCAGCAAAATAATAATGAAAAGGTACAGTTGAAGTCGGAAGTTTACATACACTTAGGTTGGAGTCATTAAAACTCGTTTTTTAACCACTCCGCAAATTTCTTGTTAACAAACTATAGTTTTGGCAAGTCGGTTAGGACATCTACTTTGTGCATGACACAAGTCATTTTTGCAACAATTGTTTACAGACAGATAATTTCACTTATAATTCACTGTATCACAATTCCAGTGGGTCAGAAGTTTACATACACTAAGTTGACTATGCCTTTAAACAGCTTGGAAAATTCCAGAAAATTATGTCATGGCTTTAGAAGCTTCTGATAGGCTAATTGACTTCATTTGAGTCAATTGGAGGTATACCTGTGGATGTATTTCAAGGCCTACCTTCAAACTCAGTGACTCTTTGCTTGACATCATGGGAAAATCAAAAGAAATCAGCCAAGACCTCAGAAAAATAATTGTAGACCTCCACAAGTCTTGTTCATCCTTGGGAGCAATTTCCAAACGCCTGAAGGTACCACGTTCATCTGTACAAATAATAGTACGCAAGTATAAACACCATGGGACCACGCAGCCGTCATACCGCTCAGGAAGGAGACGCGTTCTGTCTCCTAAAGATGAACGTACTTTGGTGCGAAAAGTGCAAATCAATCCCAGAACAACAGCAAAGGACCTTGTGAAGATGCTGGAGGAAACAGGTACAAAAGTATCTATATCCAGAGTAAAACGAGTCCTATATCGACATAACCTGAAAGGCCGCTCAGCAAGGAAGAAGCCACTGCTCCAAAACCGCCATAAAAAAGCCAGACTACGGTTTGCAACTGCACATGGGGACAAAGATCATACTTTTTGGCGAAATGTCCTCTGGTCTGATGAAACAAAAATAGAACTGTTTGGCCATAATGACCATCGTTATGTTTGGAGGAAAAAGGGGTGGCTTGCAAGCTGAAGAACACCATCCCAACCGTGAAGCATGGGGGTGGCAGCATCATGCTGTGGGGGTGCTTTGCTGCAGGAGGGACTGGTGCACTTCACAAAATAGATGGCATCATGAGGAAGGAAAATTATGTGTATATATTGAAGCAACATCTCAAGATATCAGTCAGGAAGTTAAAGCTTGGTCGCAAACGGGTCTTCCAAATGGACAATGACCCCAAGCATACTTCCAAAGTTGTGGCAAAATTGCTTAAGGACAACAAAGTCAAGATATTGGAGTGGCCATCACAAAGCCCTGATCTCAATCCTATATAACATTTGTGGGCAGAACTGAAAAAGCGTGTGCGAGCAAGGAGGCCTACAAACCTGACTCAGTTACACCAGCTCTGTCAGAAGGAATGGGCCAAAATTCACCCAACTTATTGTGGGAAGCTTGTGGAAGGCTACCCGAAATGTTTGACCCAAGCTAAACAATTTAAAGGCAATGCTACCAAATACTAATTGAGTGTATGTAAACTTCTGACCAACTGGGAATGTGATGAAAGAAATAAAAGCTTAAATAAATCATTCTCTCTACTTTTGTGGTCCTCTGTATCTCAGCTGGTAGAGCACGGCGCTTGTAACGCCAGGGTAGTGGGTTCGATCCCCGGGACCACCCATACACAAAAATGTATGCACGCATGACTGTAAGTCGCTTTGGATAAAAGCGTCTGCTAAATGGCATATTATTATTATTATTCTGACATTTCACATTCTTCAAATAAAGTGTTGATCCTAACTGACCTAAGACAGGGAATTTTTACTAGGATCAAATGTCAGGAATTGTGAAAAACTGAGTTTAAATGTATTTGGCTAAGGTGAATGTAAACTTCCGACTTCAACTATATCTACTGTATTACATAATATATACATACTATTTATATAATGAAAAGGTATCTACTGTATTACATAATATATACATAATACATCATATTTTGTATTATAACAATGTTATCTTCCAGTCACACATAAAGACCCAACTTTCAACACTGGACAACACTCATTATTATTACCTTTGATGCAATGTTGCCATTACTTGGTTGGACGGTTATGTTCTCAAAGAATACAAATGTTGTACAGTAAAATACCTTTTCTTACTTTCTCACCCAGTCTAAAAGCCTGTGCTTATTACCACAATATTTTCAGACACAGCACAGTGACGTTTCACAAACACCGTTTCTCACATTTTAAGTCACATATTGGCACCAGATTTATGAGACATTGTTAGTGTCAGATATCCAGCTTTGACGCGAGCATGGCTTATATCTTGCATACGTCATGTCTGGACCAGATTTCTGAGAGATTTCTGAATGTCTGCCTATGGTTAGACCTTGTTGTGAGCATACTGCCTCCCTATTCCTTATGGGCACTGGTCAAAGGTTGTGCACTATGAAGTAGGGATGTGCATATTTTCCTTCAAGATGATTCAATACGTATCTAGATACAGTGCCTTCAGAAAGTATTCATACCCCTTGACCTATTCCACATTTTGTTGTGTTACAGCCTGAATTCAAAATTGATTAAATCGATTTTTTTCTCACCCATCTACACACATTACCCCAGAATGACAAAGTGAAAACATGTTTTTAGAAATGTTCAGCTAATTTCTTGAAAATGAAATAAAGAAATAACTCATTAACATAAGTATTCACACCCCTGAGTCAATACTTTGCAGAAGCACGTTTGGCAGCGATTACAGCTGTGAATCTTTCTGGGTAAGTCTCTTAAGAGCTTTCCACACCTGGATTGTGCAACATTTTGCACATTATTATTTTCAAAAATCTTTTTTTACGGATTGGCTTCTCTTTTCCTCCCGCTTCGACCATGCATAAGGCTCACAAAAGTGATTGCTGTTAGGGATGTGACTCAAAATTCTAAAGGCACTTGCACATCTGAGCTATCTTTTTTGCAGGTGCATGGTAACAGTTGAATAAGATGAGAAAAATATAAAATAACCTGCACACTGCTCTTGATAGTATCACTGCTCTTTAATAAGCTTTACGTATCGTCCTCAAGGCCTTCGTTAGGGATGTGACAAAAGGAAAACAATTCTTAACGGTTCAACCAATTTTTTATTATTTTTTAACGTTAAACAATTAGAAAAATTCATAAAATTCCACGCAAATTCACAATGCAGATGCTCTGCTGTCAGCAACGATTTGGGTCTCACGGTGTATCCCTTTCAGATGATTAAACATTGCCCCTGTACTACCATCCTTCTCATTTACATTCTCAAAGTATTGCCATACAGGACTTCACTGCTGTCACTTGCCTTTCTCTGCCATTTTTTTAAACTACGATGACGTAGTGAATGAGTCGACTCCAAAATAATTGATTCCTCAACTCCTTGTATGACGACTCCCGATGTCGACTCTCATTTCTTTCATAGCGAGCTAGCGAGGGACTGAGAGAGAGGGGAGGGGCACAGTATAAGCAGGTCGGCCACCAACCAGACAGTCAGAACCGTGCACTAGGCCTACCTATCGGCAATCAAAAGCTGTACCTTGCAATCAAAAAATTGTATCTTGCAATCAAAAGCTGTACCTTGCAATGAAATGCCGTATCTTGCAATTTCTTGGCTTGCAATGTCTCGCAACTTCAGTAAAGCAGGGCCTATCATCAATGAATAGGCTAGGATATTCTACACGCAACAGACCAAAGACTGAACACTCGCATCATTAGCGAAGAGAAATAGCAGGTGTGGAATCCTTAGTCCAAACCGTTTGCAACTAAAACGAGAGTTTCTAGGTAGGTCCCTCCCCTTTCGTTCAGAAACGTTTTGCAACAGAATCGGCGTAATGAATGTGAGGGAGAGAGAGTAGAGGGCAGGCAGAAAAAAACATGGTGCGCATATGTCTTGGTAATCTGAATCTCGCAATGTCTTGTCTTGCACGCCTTTATAGCCATTTAGTCTAGGTAGGATATAACACGGAAAATACTGTTTTGTGATAACTGCACTATGATTATTAAATACAAATGGTCCTCATTATGAAATTATCAACTTTACCCTGTATATCTAAAAATGACCATATACAATGATTGTTTAAAGCAAAACTACCAAAACTATTGCTGACGGTGAACCTGAACAATCTATTGTAAGCCCCATTCAGCAGGAATAGCCAGATGAGTTGTGTCTCCGGTAGCTTACTTTTATTCTGGTGAAACACAATTTTCAACAGTGCATTTGATAACAATAACCTAGGAAATTACATTGGTTGTAATGTACTCAACTAATAAAGCCTAATATTGCACAAGCCATTTAAGCATTTGAATGCTGAAGGCATGCAGATGTACAAGATTTGGGGCCTACCTCTCGTCAGCGCGCGAAGCTGGGCACAGTGCAGCAGTTTGACTAGGCTACTGATATTACCTGGAGTTGTTCGGCATGCAAATTTACTTGTAGATCAATGACCGTCAACCTGAGCACGCCCCCATTCTCATCGACGGGGCTGTAGTGGAACAGGTTGAGAGCTTCAAGTTCCTTGGTGTCCACATCACCAACGAACTATCATGGTCCAAACACACCAAGACAGTCGTGAAGAGGGCACGACAAAGCCTATTCCCCCTCAGGAGACTAAAAAGATTTGGCATGGGTCCTCAGATCCTCAAAAAATTCTACAGCTGCACCATCGAGAGCATCCTGACTGGTTGCATCACCGCCTGGTATGGCAACTGCTTGGCCTCCGACCGCAAGGCACTACAGAGGGTAGTGCGTACGGCCCAGTACATCACTGGGGCAAAGCTTCCTGCCATCCAGGACCTCTATACCAGGCGGTGTCAGAGGAAGGCCCTCAAAATTGTCAAAGACTCCAGCCACCCTAGTCATAGACTGTTCTCTCTGCTACCGCACGGCAAGCGGTACCGGAGTGCCAAGTCTAGGTCCAAAAGACTTCTCAACAGCTTCTACCCCCAAGCCATAAGACTCCTGAACAGCTAATCATGGCTACCCGGACTATTTGCACTGCCCCCCCACCCCATCCTTTTTACGCTGCTGCTACTCTGTTAATTATTTATGCATAGTCACTTTAACTCTACCCACATGTACATATTACTTCAACTACCTCAACTAGCCGGTGCCCCCGCACATTGACTCTGCACCGGTACCCCCCTGTATATATAGCCTCCCTACTGTCACTTTATTTTTACTTCTGCTCTTTTTTTTTTCTCAAACACTTTTTTTGTTGTTGTTGTTTTATTTTTACTTCTTTTGTTTAAAATAAATGCACTGTTGGTTAAGGGCTGTAAGTAAGCATTTCACTGTAATGTCTGCACCTGTTGTATTCGGCGCATGTGACCAATAAAATTTGATTTGATTTCATTTGACATTTCCCTGCAGTTCGACATTGAAGGAGAGGACACATCAGTTGTAAAAAAAGATGAGGTATTTGCGGAAGGTAGAAAGTAATATGCCCAAAAAACAGGCGATTCGTAACATTTGAATTGATTTTCTGACCGATGCATGCTCCATTTGGATTGGTTTGGATGCACTCATCTCTAACATTTGAACCGGGGACCGATGCATATCAGTGAACCGTTACATCCCTACCATAAAGGAAATAAGATGCCATTTGGGGACTCAACCTGATACCATTTCTGAATGTCTCCCTGCACTGAGACGTTGTTTTGCGAGCATGGCTTATCTCCCAGTGTAAACAGAATGAGATCATGGGACAACTGTTTGACAAGATAACTGACGCTCGTCTAGTCCAAGAGGCGCGCTAATCGGATTAGAATGCTCCACCACTCTGCCTGTGGGCTAGCCCTACTTATACCATGCCATGTATAACATGGTTCAAGATGAGATGCAAAAGACTGATGTAATACAGTATAAGAGATACTACAGTACGGTGTCCATATTAGGACAGCCGCAGGGATTGTTTCAGCAGGACACCATACTGCTGGACACCATACACCATAATGTATATACCACGATAGAAGAGTTGGAGTTGGAGAGTCCTGGGCCCGTATCCACTAAGTATTTCAGAAAAGTTCCTAGGAATCCTGTTAAAACCTGCTTTAAGACAAAAAAAAACTCCCACCTCAGAGTAGTTTTCAGGATGATGTTAAGACACTGCTCAGACAAACTCTGAGCCAGGAGTAAAATCAACTCATAAAAGTTTATCTCAGCTGGTAATCACGCCAAGTTTTAGGTACTGCAAGTTAAGATGGTGAGGCATCACCAGCTGTAAACTCTAAAGCATGCTTCAGACAACTACGGTGAATGTGACTGTACATCAAATGTTGCAATTTAGTGAAAATCGATTCACGTTTGATATATACTGAACAAAACTATAAACGCAACATGTCAAGTGTTGGTCCCATGTTTCATGAGCTGAAATAAAATATACAATAAATGTTCCATACACACAAAAAGCTTATTTCTCTCAAATTGTGTGCACAAATTTGTTTACATCCCTGTTAGTGAGCATTTATCCTTTGCCAAGATAATCCTTCCACCTGACAGGGATGGCATTTCATATTAAACAGCGTGATCATTACACAGGTGCACTTTGTGCTGGGGACAATAAAAGGCCACTCTAAAATGTGCAGTTTTGTCACACAACACAATGCCACAAATGTCTCAAGTTTTGAGGGAGCGTGCAATTGGCATGCTGACTGCAGGAATGTCCACCAGAGCTGTTGCCAGAGAATTGAATGTTAATTTGTGACTGACCGCCTTGATTCAGCCTTATGTAGCAAAATTTGAAATTGTGTTTTTTACATTGAATTAAAGCAGAGACAGAGCTACAAAATGGTGTATCATACACTGCATTTAAGGGAACAATGGGAAAGTAATTCTGCTTTGACAGTTGATAAACTTGTAATCTCACTTTTGAGAAAATGGCCTTTGAATGTTTTGGTACCTACTGAAGAGCTCTTCTTTGTCTACACCCATTCAGCATCGTTCAGAGCACACACTTTACGCTCTGGCCAATGAGTAGGGTTGATTTGAGCGTTCTGACCTCACAACGGCAGTCAAGCACCCAAGCTAACTGGTTAACATTGGCTAGCTTGCTAGCTACTTCCAGAAACTAAATTGGGATTATGGTTCATTGTTTACCTCTGGATAACATGAAAACAGCCTAACCAGCTCTGCTAGGGTGAGTAAAATGGTCAGTCGGTGTCGCTAGTGCGCCCTAGCAGAGCTCGCCCTAGCAGAGCTTTTTTCATGTTATCCAGAGCGTTGGTGACTGTAACTGTGCTGCTGGCAACAATTTAATTACGCTTTTTTGCCAACGTTTACTGACACCGGTCATATTCAACGGGTGTTGTGGGTTCGTAAATTCTTCAGTTATTCTGCGCTCTGGCATACTCAGACTGAATTTACGAATGCACCCGAAATGGTTACTTGCATAGTGGAGTCTTTTGTTAAGACATGTAGCTAGCTAGCTAGGTAAACAATTAACCATAATCCCAACTCATGACGTTACTACCCTGCATTAATCTGCAGGTAGCTAACCAACCAGGTTCAATGTTAGCTAGCTAACATGAGGTTCTAACTAGCCAAGCAAATGGCTCTGAGATATAATACATTAGCTAGCGAACCGGCTAGCTAACAGAAACGTGTAATATTAGAAACGTGTAATATCTGAAAATGTAGCTAGCTAGACTATCTTACCCGTATACATCATGCATGATGGACGCATCTCCCTGTCACGGATGCCATGGTTGCCCTTAGTTTGAAAATGTAATCCGGAGACAGGTGTTTTCTCCATCTCTTTAGCTATCATACTCTAATTCCACTGATTTCAAAACTCGATCCTCCAGAAAGTGGAGAGCAACACTTATGCAGCTCCACAAACACGATACAATTTCACATGTTCCAGAAGTCATTTCTGCCAAGAAACGCATTTTGATCAAATAAAATAAAATACGTTCAAATGGCTCTCCTGTGAAGTAGTGACCCGCGACATACACCTAGTTCCCTGAAACGTGTCATATTTCTCTACCATAAGCCGGCTCCAATGTCGTTTTAGAGAATTCGGCAGTACGTCAAACCGGCCTCACAACCGCAGACCACGTGTAACCACACCAGCCCAGGACCTCCACATCCGGCTTCTTCACCTGCAGGATCGTCTGATACCAGCCACCCGGACAGCTGATGAAAGTGATGAGTATTTCTGTCTGTAATAAAGCCCTTTTGTGGGGAAAAACTAATTCTGATTAGCTGGGCCTGGTTCCCCAGTGGGTAAGCCTATGCCCTCCCAGGCCCACCCATGGCTGTGCCCCTGTCCATTCATTGTGAAATCAATAGATTACAGCCTAATGAATTGATGTAAATTGACTGATTTCCTTATATGAAACTGTAACTTGTTGAAATTGTAGCATGTTGCAAAATACCATAATGTCAAAGTTTTATCATTTGTTTTGCATTTTTAAAGATTGATAGAAATGTAATAACTAAAATAGAGTCGTTGCATAGGTATTCAGCTCCCTGAGTCAATACATTTTAGAAACACCTTTGCCATCGATTACAGCGGTCTTCTTGGGTAAGTCTCTAAGAGCTTTCCACACATGGATTGTGCAATATTTGCCCATTATTCTTTTCAAAATTCATCAAGCTCTGTCAAGATGTTGGGGATCATGGCTAGACAGCGATTTTCAAGTCTTGCCATATATTTTCAAACAGATTTAAGTCAAAACTGTAACATGGCCACTCAGGAACATTCACCGTCTTCTTGGTAAGCAACTCCAGCGTATATTTGGCCTTGTGTTGTAGGTTATTGTCCTGCTGAAAGGTGAATTCTTGTCCCAGTCTCTGGTGTAAAGCAGACTGAAGCCGGTTTTCCTCTAGGATTTTGCCTGTGCTCCATCCTGTTTCTTTTTTATCCTGAAAAACTCCCCAGTATTTGCCGATGTCAAGCATACCCATAACATGATGCAGCCACCACCATGCTTGAAAATAAGGAGGCAGTTACTCAGTGATGTGTTGGATTTGCCCCAAACATAAGGCTTTGCATTTAGGCCAAAAATATGCAATATTCCTTTGCTGTTTTTTTTTTCTCCCAGTATTACTTTAGTGCTTTGTTGCTTACAAGATGCATGTTTTGGAATATTTTTATTCTGTATATTTGTATTCTTCTTTTCACTCTATTATTTAGGTCATTATTGTGGAGTCACTACAATGTTGTTGATCCATCCTCAGTTTTCTCCCATCACAGCTATTGAACTCTGTAACTGTTTTAAAAATCACCAATGGCCTCATGGTAGCATCCCTAAGCAGTTTCATTCCTGTCCTTCAGCTCAGTTCAGAAGGATGACTATCTTTGATGTGTCTGGCTGGTTTAATACATCATCCACAGCATAATTATTAACGTGACCATGCTTAAAGAGATATTCAATGTCTGATCTTTTATTGTTACCCATCTACCAATCACTGCCCTTCTTTATGAGGCTTTCGAAAAGCTCCCTGGTCTTTGTTGTTGATTATGTGCTTGAAATTCAATACTTGACAGATGTTGTATGTATGGGGGACAATGGTTAGTCAACCCCTATTATTTTACACAGAGTGAGTCCATGTAACTTATTATGTGATTTGATATGCCAAATTGTACTCCTGAACTAATTTAGGCTTGCCTAAACAAAGGGGCTGAATACTTATGCAAATACTATATTTTAATTCTCATTGATATTCATCAACAACAACAAAAATACAATTAAACCCATTTGAATCCCACTTTGTAACAATAAAATGTATGAATACTTTTGCAAGGCACTGTAACAAGAGAATAACTGCTGATGCAAAACCACATTTCACCTTGTGTATTCTATATACTATTCTATCTCACAACAGTAAGAGACCCAAATGAGTTCCCATAAAATAATTAATAATAATAAGAAGAACTTGGAAATTGATCCGAGGGCCTTAAAAAGGGGGACGGAGTTACCCATCCATGCCCTAGATGATGTCAATTGCCCAACTGATAGCACCACTCCAAAGGAATAACTTGAAATTACATGTAGGTTAATCAAATAATCAAAATAAAAAGGTGATTATTTACTAGCCTTGTGGTCATAAGTATTTAGGCATATCATGTAAATTTGGTATTGTGTAAAATCATTGTCAAAAGCGCAATGGATAGCGTACTGTTGCATGTAACTGGACAGCTCATAAGGTGTCCTAAATATCTGTTGACTAGGTGTGACTCTTATGACTAAAGAGGCTTCATGCATAGCTTTTATTTTGACCCATCAGAGTAGGAGTAAAATGTCTCTATTCTCAGGATTTATGACCGCTTTGTGGATATGACCCCTGATCTACACAGCATTCAGGCTTGTCATGGCATACTTACCCAACCTCAGAGAGAACTCATAGAACTTCTTTAGTTTCCCGACCAGTGGGACCACAGCAGCCCAGGCTCGCTCCTGTACCCGGTCCTCACTTGGGTTCTGTATCGCCTGGATGAGAGTGAGTGAGTGAGTGAGTGAGTGAGAGGATTAAAATGTCAGATTCCTCTGAAACAGATTAAACTCCATAATAGCCCCCCTTTACACACAATGAGACGTTTTGATCAAAAGGCCTTAACAAAACAAAAAAAAATGTGTAAGAAGAATTCAGAACATTTGCACTGAAAAAAAAAATAAGCAAAAGCTGAGAGCAAACTGGCTATGGCTCCCCCATTTCCATGGCAACCATGAACAGTAGCAGGTATCAAGCCAAAATTGGCTACTGGTAATGAAAGCCATAGAGTTTGGCAAACTTGGCATAAAATGTCTAAATGTCCTTTGCATTTAATTCAGTTGTATTTACATTTTTCAGCTTTTGACATTTCAACTTTTATAGCGTATTACACTAGAACAGGGGTCTTCAACCTCTTGCCCAGGGACACACTCCCAGGGACCCACCCCCATCATATGTTTGCAAAATGTCTATGTCAAGAAAGTTAACCAGCTGCCAGCGGCACTTGCCGCGACTGGTACTCGCGGGTGCTTTTTCAAAGCCTGGCAGATACTCCAATGTGTGTAATTTGCTCAATATTAGAAGTTGATATTTATACTGAAGGTACGTAATACAAAATGTGTTTATTTTGTTGTTGCTAGCCATATTCATAAAAACCTTTTTTTATGCAGACCACCTGCAGTACCTCGGGGCCGCGGACCCCAGGTTGAATACCTCTGCACTAGAACGCTAAAATATTCCCATATTTTTTCCAGAACATTTGCTCAAATTGAGGATAGTTAACCAAACTCCTCTGGTGTTTATTAACTTAACCCTTAACCCACCTGTCGTATCTCTTCTCCTGCTCCGTTGTAGGATTGCAGGTCGTCTAGGATAGCCAGAGCCTCCATCAGTACCTCGTTCACCTGCTCCCATACTGCCCTCTCTGCCTCTGTAGGCTGGGCATCTGTAGTAGGTCAGAAAGCAATTCAGAGCAAACATTGATACAACTTTTATAGAATGTTGATGCAAAGTGGCGCAGAGTATTGGGCATTTTTTTGTGTGATTCCTTTTTAGTTGTTCATTATCTCTACAAGAAAAACAGACAAAAAAATTGCAGTGTAGCACTTAATAATAACTTAATGTAATAAAGCATTTATAATGGATTAGTAAATAGTTTATTCATCATTTAGTAATTATTACTCCCAAATTTGTAAATGTTAGTAACCTAGTTATTCACACATTTATAAACAACTTTTAAAGTGTTTAATAATTATTCATAAGGCCATTAATAAGATGTTTAATATAGGTTCTTATAAACAATTCACTAATCATTAGTTAAATCTTGCGTAAATTGGTCAGCTGCGTGACTAAATTCTGGGTCCATACGTGTTCGAAATTGCGAGTTCTGGTTTGCGAATTCTCCACCCTCGCAAAAGGAAACTCTCAGCCAAAGCCCCCCCGCTCCACTATTTTTCACCACACGTGCGAAGAAGTTGATGTTTAAGCAATCCTGGTACTTCCAAATAATCAGTGATGAAAACCCAAACACCGAAACTACTGCTGCTCATTATACTATGCTCTTCGGTTTATGCGCAGAATCTGTTGACGAGAGATTAAGAGTAGTCCATCGACTGCTTACAAGGTAAGGAAACAAATATCTGAATACATTATTTCGCTGAACCATCCCATTACGTTTTTAAGACTTACTACCTTTTAAAGGCCCAGTACGGTGCTGCCAAACAAAGCCTTGTGTGAAATAGTCTGTGGTGAAAAGACTGAAGCACTGGAAGCATATAAAGGTTATACTGTACATGTAACATTTCTACCTCAATCACATATCAGTAGTAATGAAGGAATCAAAATCCATTAAAGAAAAACTGTTGTTTGTAGGCTCCCTGTTTTATGATTAGTTCACGTTCACGAGGTTGATAACATTAACAAAACATTCACATTACAACTCTTCCACAAGTCTTTGCCACAGTTGTTTCACAACATGTTTTGTGAATAAAATGTTCAATACAATTCTCAATATATTTATTTTAACATCCTGTGTTGTGTGCTTACTCTTTTACCATTGATATGTTCAAGGCTATTTTGAGACCTTGAGGAGCATCAGGTAGTCCTGGAATATCTACCAATGGCATGTCCATCTTTTTGTGAGAAATTACACTGGTCACTCAAAACATTTATAAAGTATTTATAAAGTATAAATAGCCCACACTTTCGATGAGGCCATGCAAAAATAGTTAACTAATGATTAGTAAATGGTTTATAAGGACCTATATTAAACATATAAAAAATTGAGTAATGATTTCTAAATGATGAATAAACTATTTACTTATCCATTATACATGCTTTATTAAGTGGAGTTATTATTAAGTGATGCAAAATAACAAAGGTATTACTTGATTGTCTGTACATTAGAAATAGTGTGTACGATTTCCCACCAAAGCTCGTCCCCTCACCCCAATGGGCATGGCTACTCCCTCACCCTACTCCCCAATCTCCAAAGAAAGAAATATAGTATATCTATAGAGCTTTTTCAAAAAATATCAAATTATGCATTTTTTTATCAGGGATAATGTTTGTTTTTTTCTCAAGCCCATGTTTGCCAGGTTCCTTCATTTCAGGTAGCTCCTTCCTTCTCTGTATCCTACCAGGCGGGCCTCCTAAAGCTTATTTTATCCATTCAACCATCATTTTTCATCCTGACTCGCTTCTCTGCATTTCCCCCTCTCTCGCCCTGCTAAATCCCATAAACACTAACCCTCGGCTAATTCCAAATTCTGACCTAAGCTGCAAATTCCAAGATGAGGGAGAGAGGGGGGAAATAGAGAGAGATGGGAGAGGTTTTCTGCGGCAATGATCTTCCAATCAGATTTCATGTCAGGTAGCATTTCCAGACCCTGCTGTGCCTTCGAAGCCCCTAAAAATATCTGACCTAGTATTCCTAGAATCCCAAATTTGATAGGTAAGCCTGATGTTCCTATGCTTTTAGCATCCCGATCCAATAGGTTCACCAGATACTCTTATGGAAACACGTGGATAAATAGGACAGACTGGTATTTTAGCCTTACTGTGAACTGTTGCCTTAAGTGAACTATGCAAATCAAAGATCTGAATTTAACCGAATGGAAGTCATAAGTATCCTCCAACATGTTGGAGGAGAATACCATTATGAGGTAAAAGAGGGCCATGGATTTGATACTTTGCTAATAACATGGTTGAGTTTGTACAGGGACGAGCTGAATGCATGGAAAGCAACATTTTTGACAACTTCCAGACATAACGTCAGCGCTGAGGACAATTTAGGCTTGGGGACAATTTGTAGTTTAGAGTAGTCAATTCAGGAAATAAAATGAAACTAACAAGTTGCTTTTAAATATAATTTCATCCCAATACACCACCCTACCACTACTTTTTTCTTTGGAGGAATCAGTGACGCTATAGATGTGGTGTGTGCATGCATGCATGTAAATCACTTACTCTCAAAGTCCAGGAAGAAATTCCCTGCATTGTTGTCTATGTCCCTTGTCAACACCTTGATCAGGTTCCCCATACCGGCAAATCAAGAACCTAAACACAGGAGGATGGGTAACATTAGATATGCATGACTGGCTCATCCTTATTTAGTACCCTCACCATTCCTGTGGGCATTGCTGGGCATGTACGTCTGTGTGAGACCATCTGTCCAGAAAAACGTGCATATTGTATGAAGATTAAGATGAACATACAACAGAGTCTACTTGTCTGAGTGTGTAAAATGTGAGTGTTAACTAAAATGTGTGTGTGTGTGTACATGCCTGCCTGACCCTCTCTCAGCCACCTGCTCTGTCACGATGTACACATCTGGTCGCCACTGAGAGCGTGACAGAAAACAACTGCCACTTGGGGACTGACAGGAACAGGGGGAGAGGAGTGTGTGCATGTGTTTGTCGTGTGTGCGTGTGTGTGTCAAGCGTTCGTGCGACACCACTTTAACGCTTCCCTCACTGCCAACTGCCACCTATAACAGGGCTTACCCTGACTAATTCATGGTAAGCATAGGGCTATATTACAAAGAAGGTTCAATGAGTTAGCCAGCTAACCTGCCTAAATATTCTGATATAACTTTTTATTTTGTAGAAAGATAAGCTTGAAATGGGCATGGTCTAATTGATGTAACAAATGAAAAGACATATTAGCGTTTTTAATGGACCAGAAAATCTGTAGTTATTTCTGGTTGTTTATCAAAGTTAGCTGGCTAACTCATTGATCTTGCTTTGTAGTATACCCCTCAGGTGTTGGAGAACTCCCAAAAAAATGGCAGCGATTAACTTCTTGCGCTAAGGTTTTATTCCATGATCAGATGAACTCCAACTTCCACCTCTTAACCCAGGGATGGTCAACTGTTCTCCTGGAGAGCTACTGAGTCTGCAGGCTGTTGCTCAAACCCTAACACATTGGGACTGTACCCCCAGCCCTAAAACACTCACTCTGCTGCTGGCTGAACTGGTTCTGACTTTGTTTCTTCTGTTGTATCAACATGCCGCACACACACACACACAATACTGGTAATCGTATTACAATAACTGGCCACATTACATGACTGTACCAAGGCTGGGCATGATCCAAACCCATTTCCTAAAAACTCATCTCTAAAGCATGCTACACATAAATATAAACACACACACACAAACACACAAACGTTTGTTTTACTATCCTTGTGGGGACCAAACAATTGATTCCCATTCAAAATCCTATTTTCCCTAACCCTAAACCTAATCCCTAACCCTAACCCTAACCCAAATCACTAAGCCTAAAATAGCCTTTTTCCTTGTGGGGACCGGCGAAATGTCTCCACTTGTCCAACATGTTCCTTGTTTTACTATCCCCACAAGGATGGTAAAACCAAAAACACACACACAAACACAGTCTACCCCATGAACTTGATGGGAAGGAGTTGAAGCCAAGTTGACTATTGGGGCAATTCCAATGGGAGTTCAACCAGAGAAAAAATTTACTAAATCAAAGCATGTTCCTAATTATCCTTAAGGTATATATTTTGGAGGGTAAACTTTATTTTACCAGTGAATGTAGGAAATTGGATGATTGTTTTTTCCATTAGAGTATGATGCCAAGTGTCAAATAACACTTTTTAGTAATATATATATATATATATATTTTTAAAGGGCTTACAGAGCTTGTTTTGCCACTCACACCTGTCACCCAGTGTTTGTTATGAAGTTGACATGTTAATGAAGAAAAGTACAGAAAGGTGAGTTGGCGGTATATTACTTCATTTGCATATTTTAATACAATATTTCAGAAAAGGTGTTATATAAAAAGTATAATATTTGTGTCTACATTCAACTGGTAATTGGCATCACTCACACCTGCACTGTTGGAGCTCGGAGCTTAAGTATTTCACTGCACACTGCAACTACATCTGCGACCCTGTGCATGTGACCAAATTAAAATCCAACAGTCCATTTTCTATATAAAGAGAAAACAATGCTCTATTCGGGTGTGGTGCCAGGCCATAGGCTATGCAGTATATTATTGAGACTACCTGTAATCATGTAGTTCTAAGGTACTATGGCTTCTGTTTACATTTGAAAAACATTCCAGATGACTACAAATGATCAATAAATCAAACTCTGTTTCATAACAGAGGGTGTAACAATGCTAATTTTTCTACGCCAATATTTATAAGGCCACTTTTTGGGGGTATACACCCCCCCCCGAAGGGGTACTATAGACCAGGGTTTCCCAAACTCGATCCTGTGCATGTTTCCAGCACTACACAGCTGATTCAAATAATCAAAGATTGATGATAAATTGGTTATTTGAATCAACAACAACAAAAAAACCTGCACCCAGGAGGGGGGTGAGGGTTTGGGCTGCCCATCGATGACTTAACTAAGACTGACTATCTTATGTGATGGGTAATTACAAAGTCGAAGTCCACCCCTTACATTCCCAAACCCGATATGGTGCACTACTTTTGAAAAGAACCCTATGGGCCCTGGTCAAAAGTAGTGCACTATAAAGGGTATAGTGTGCCATTTGGGATACACCCACTGACTCCATGTGGATTTGGGATAGGAGCCAGGTAGATTGAGCTAGCTTGGTGACTACAAAGCCAGACAAACATAGTCCATCGGTATGTACACTACCTTTCAAAAGTTTGAGGTCACTTAGAAATGTCCTTGTTTTCCAAAGAAAAGCCATTTTTTTGTCCATTAAAATAACATCAAATTGATCAGAAATACAGTGTAGACATTGTTAATGTTGTAAATGGCTATTGTAGCTGGAAACGGCTGATTTTTAATGGAATAGGCGTACAGAGGCCCATTATCAGCAACCATCAGTCCTGTGTTCCAATGGCACGTTGTGTTTGCTAATCCAAGTTTATCATTTTAAAAGGCTAATTGATCATTAGAAAACCATTTTGCAATTATGTTCGCACAGCTGAAAACTGTTGTGCTGATTAAAGAAGCAATTAAACTGGCCTTCTTGAGACTAGTTGAGTATCTGGAGCGTCAGCAATTGTGGGTTCTATTACAGAATCAAAATGGCCAGAAACAAATACCTTTCTTCTGAAACTCGTCAGTCTATTCTTGTTCTGAGGAATGAAGGCTATTCCATGAGAGAAATTGCCAAGAAACTGAAGATCTCGTACAACGCTGTGTACTACTCCCTTCACAGAACAGTGTGGGAGGCCCCGTGGCACAACTGAGCAAGAGGACAAAGAGTGTCTAGTTTGTGGAACAGACGCCTCACAGGTCCTCAACTGGCAGCTTCATTAAATAGTACCCGCAAAATAACCAGTCTCAACGTCAACAGTGAAGAGGCGAGTCCGGGATGCTGACCTTCTAGGCAGAGTTGCAAAGAAAAAGCCATATCTCAGACTGGCCAATAATATAAAAGATTAAGATGGGCAAAAGAACACAGACACTGGACAGAGAACGATTGGAAAAAAAAGTGTTATGGACAAACAAATCAAAGTTTGAGGTGTTCGGATCACAAAGAACATTTGGCGCTTGCAACGCCAGGGTTGTAGGTTCGATTCCCACGGTGGGCCAGTATGAAACATGTATGCACTCACTAACTGTAAGTCGCTCTGGATAAGAGTGTCTGCTAAATTACTAAAATGTCTAAAGAAATTATTATTATTTCTATTAAAAATCATTATTTCTAACCTTGTCAATGACTACATTTCCTATGCATTTTGCTATATTTCCTACTCAAACTCATTTCATGTATGTTTTCATGGAAAACAAGGACATTTCTAAGTGACCCCAAACTTTTGAACGGTAGTGTATGACTAATGGGTAACTGCTGAGTAGCAGGAAGGTTGCTCACTCTGGCCTCTCCTTCAGTCCTTTACTGCCCCCTAGCTGTCAGTCAGGAAAAGTCTAATGCAGAAAAGGTCTAAACCAGTGGTCTACAACCCAATAACATCTCCTTTCTCCTGATATGTGCACTCATTCTACAAGTCAAATCTTCTTTCTTTTGATATTGAATGCTACATGAGATATACCGGAGTTGGATTCAATTCCATTTTGATTCTAGTTATCACATCAAGTCAATTGACACATCTCTTTGAATTAGGCCCCATTGAACAGTGAGCTGGCACGTAAACATACTTCTGGATTAATGGTTAAAGGTGTATTCTGTAACATTTCCACACACAAATAGCCCTTAGTGGTATATCTCTAGTAGTAGTAGTAAATCAAATTCCATTGGGGGGAAAAATAACAATAACCTAGAACCGTTAGCTGCCATCCACAAAACCTGTTTGCCTCCCTGGGACCTCACCAAAGTGTCAGCCACCCTTACTTACGTCATCCCTAAGGCCAGATCACAGGCTTCAGTGGCATATGGGGGAGTTTGGAGTAAGGGGGAAGTTTTGTGTTTGGGTTACTTAGAGATAAGGGATTTGCCAAGACTTAACCCCCCCTGGCCTAGCCTATGGGACTGGCTAACACTAATCCAAGCAACTGCAGTTAGCCAGTTTAGCAACACAGGGCAAAACACTCAATTAGCTTCATTTCTAGCATTTGGCTGTAAGGCAGCAGCTACATCATCTCATTAATCCATGGTGTTAGACTACCAACACATGCTTTGGAAGGGTCAGAAGTGGGTGGCTGTGTCTTTATCATTTAGCTTTTCAACATACTTCTTATTAATTGGGCTTGCGATACAGCTATTTTACTAACCACATCAACAACATTTCCTTTTCCCAATGAGAATAGAAAGGTTCAGAACTTTTGTAAAACATCACAGTACGGTTGAAATATATATGGCAAATAGAAATCCTATATGGATGGTGTTGAGAGATAGATGGGAGGTATTGAATAGAGTTGAAGGATGGGACTAATAACAAATAACAACAAATAATAACAAAGATAGCTAATAATGTAAGCATACTGTGTCCATAATAAGTATATAGGTTGTATGTTGGGAGCTTTTGGGAAAGAGCACAGTTAGAAAGATATGGCATATAGAAGCAAACCGGATGGACATCATGAAAATGATCGGAGAGGTTGAGAGTAGAAGAAGTTCAGGAGCAAT